TGCATATCAGGTTGTTTTTTAATTTGCTGTAGGTTTGTTTTTCTTCATTCTTCTGTTTTCAGTTTGGAAGGTGAGGTGTAGATGTCTTCGGTGATACATGGCAACAGTGTCTGTCGGGATACCGGTTGTAACTTGAATTCTGGGATCTTTGGACAGGGATACGGTTTAGTAGATGGTAAAGGCTTGGTACTCAGTATTTTGTGTGTAAGAACAGGTCATCCCAGGCAAGTTCAGATAACATCGGACAGGGTAATTGTACAGGGTTAGGTTCTGATTGGGGTAACAGTTGATGATGCTTTCTTAAGGCATTGGACATGATTTTTTGGATGATTGTCGGCAAGGCATTTGCTAGGCCTTGGGGTCTATATTCGAAGGCCCCGCGATTTGTACAATTCTGTGTTTTTGAGATACGGATGCGGTACCAGCACCAGGTACCTCGGTACCCGTTACCGATACCGCGCCAGGGACGTACAATATAGCCCTTGGACTATAGGACGATAACTGCCCGGTTGGGCCTATGTGCTTTATCGAAAGTATGTTGTTTGTGTGTATGGGCTATACGGTAGGATATGTGACTTGAGTTAGCATTTGTTTAGACTACTGTGGGTTACGGTTCAGGTGTTTCGACTACATCAGTATAAAGAGGATTAGGTACAAATTAGTCGACCTCTTCAGGACTGACGGGACTGGAAGCTACAGTCATTCCGGAGTGGGTGTAGCCGAAGGTACGGAAGTGGGAAGGAAGGAAGGAGGTTTTGAATTGAGAGAGAAGTAGGTGGATACCCCCTAATGAAGGCAACGTGGCTGTTGCCGAAACGCGGCGACGGGGACGCCGTTCATGAATCGTTTAATTTTCAAGCATAATGCTTTGATTGTTAATACGATTTTTTTGAAGTTGACTACATGTACTGTGTCTGTGTGAATTGACGCTGAGTGAATTTACGCTGACTATGTGTGTTTTGTCTCACATACTCCTGTATCATTCAACCTGACTGAATTGCTAGAAAAAGCCAGCCCTTGTTTCAAACTGCTAAAATGCAATTTCATATGCAATTGAAACTCAGGCCCTGACTAAACTGCTAAAACGCAGTTCCAACTGCAATTACAAACTATAATCCTGACTGCGCTGTAGTTTTCCCTTTTTTTTTTTTTTTTTTTTCCCTCGAAAAGCCCATGTGTAAACCMTCTATCCCGGCGGTGGTAAGAGAACCGTCGGGATTGAGGGTTTATCTGTCGGGCTGCTCCATCTATTGGTGGGGAGCGGCACCTGCTGGAAACCGGGTCCAGCGTCCCATTGAAACAACATATAAACCGGAGATTACCGTTATATTGGTTCCTGTGGCTGCGGGTTTTCCTTCCTCTGACTCGGGTGTCTTTTTCCCATGGAGCTGCTAATGATTCCCCTCCCTACTTAGAACACCCCATATTTGCTCGCCCCGCCGTGGTCAGCAGCCCCCTTTCAAAATGGCAGACCTTATCCCTTGAGCCCCTTAAACCCTATACCCTCTACCCTTCTCAACCTCGTACCCATGACCTTCATGATCCTTGACGTCAGGAGCACGGGCCTCAGAGCTCGCATTCCAGGTCTAAAATTAGGTAGGCATTTCTGCTATCTTAGTTTAATTTGTTTGTCTGTTTGTTAGCAGTGACTTCATGTCTCGTGAGACAGCCTCAAAAGCGAGAAACTGATAGACGCCCTGTATGTGCGGGGCATGTGCAACAGGGATGATTGCGGACATGTAGATGTGGTGCAGGACCTGGTA